ACTTGCTATGGTCTATATACAAGATATCTACTTAGATTATGAAATCGAAATACATCGTATCATTATCTAAATAAACATGGTTGGTTTGTAGCGTGTTTAACACGTTACACATGTTGATACAACCGCTTGCTACACCTTATCAGCACTATCGACATATTTTCTGTGGATCTGCTGGAGCGTCTCAACCACCATCTTGAACCCGTCCAGCTGCTGCTGATAGCCCAGCTTCCTCAGCGAATTCCTCACCATCATCGCAGCAGCCGCCGGGACGCCGTCGTCGTCACTCCGCCTTGAACTCTTGTCCACGAGATGGCGCTCGGAGGTGCTATTTCTCCTCATTCTCTTCCTCTTCCTCTTCTGAGTGGATTTCGACACCTCGACCGTCCCTGCTGGAACAGGCGGAGGACGCTCATCCTCTGAAGTCGTCTCGGAGTAAGTCGACGAGAGGGGCAACTTGCACTCGTGTTGGGGATAAAATGGCTCCGGTGGAGACATGCCTGGAGCTTGTGGTGATCTCTCTGTGCAATCTGTATAATTACAGCAAGAAAAATGTCATGTAAGTAACACAAAAGTGAAAAAATACCAATTGTATATGCACTTGCTTCAAAGTTACACATAACTCTGAAGCATCAATGATATAATTCATATAAAATATTGATCTTAACGTACATACCTGAGCTAAAGATATCACACTCCACTGTACTTCACAACGTCAACTGATTCTAAAGGATAAGGATAAGGATAAGTCCGATATGCGAAGCTGAGCCTCGCCCGGGGTATGGGGGAGCCCGGCCTGTGCCGACGAATGTCGACTCGATCAACGTGTGTCAGCAAGTGCTGACGCGACAGCTTAGTCCTTACCCACCGTGGTGCCCAGCCACAGCAGTAACCTCCGAGCGACAATTGCAACTTCTCGCGCCTGGGCGGGGCGCGAACCGCCGACCCCTCAAATGTGAAGCCGACACGTTACCACTGTACTAGCCTGGAGGCTGATTCTAAAGGCAAGAACATATGGATATATAGAATGGAACCGAGACAGACATGTGACACTCTGGGAAAAAGCAACAAGGGAAGGTGGGGAGACTTTGGGAGGATGGGAAAGCCCCTCTCCTTGTCCTTCCTTGTTTGCATACCGCTTACTCTTGTTCACTGCCTTCCCACGTCCTTAATCCTCATTTAGTTTCTACTTCCATGTTTACCATCTTTAATGAGAATCATTTTCAAAAATTTAGATAGATGTGAAAGGGATGATTTATAATCGAATGTTGTATTATAGAAGTTTTATTCAGGTTTAATACGTATTATATAAATTAGATTAATATGCCCGAACACACCCCTTATTAAGACGTCAAGGTCCGCTCTGCCCGAAGACACCCCCTGTGAAGACGTCACGGTCCACTCTCCCCGAATACACCCCCTGTGAAGACGTCAGGATCCACTCTGCCGAAGACACCCCTGTGAAGACGTCAGGATCCACTCTGCCCGAAGACACCCCTGTGAAGACGTCACGATCCACTCTGCCGAAGACACCCCTGTGAAGACGTCAGGATCCACTCTGCCGAAGACACCCCTGTGAAGACGTCAGGATCCACTCTGCACGAACACACCCCTGTGAAGACGTCAGATCCACTCTGCACGAAGACACCCCCTGTGAAGACGTCAGGATCCACTCTGCCCGAAGACACCCCCTGTGAAGACGTCAGGATCCACTCTGCACGAAGACACCCCCTGTGAAGACGTCAGGATCCACTCTGCCCGAAGACACCCCCTGTGAAGACGTCAGGATCCACTCTGCCCGAAGACACCCCTGTGAAGACGTCAGATCCACTCTGCACGAAGACACCCCCTGTGAAGACGTCAGGATCCACTCTGCCGAAGACACCCCTGTGAAGACGTCAGGATCCACTCTGCCGAAGACACCCCTGTGAAGACGTCAGGATCCACTCTGCCCGAAGACACCCCCTGTGAAGACGTCAGGATCCACTCTGCACGAAGACACCCCTGTGAAGACGTCACGATCCACTCTGCCCGAAGACACCCCCTGTGAAGACGTCAGGATCCACTCTGCCCGAAACACCCCTGTGAAGACGTCAGGATCCACTCTGCCGAAGACACCCCCTGTGAAGACGTCAGGATCCACTCTGCCGAAGACACCCCCTGTGAAGACGTCAGGATCCACTCTGCACGAAGACACCCCCTGTGAAGACGTCAGGATCCACTCTGCCCGAACACACCCCCTGTGAAGACGTCACGATCCACTCTGCACGAAGACACCCCCTGAAGACGTCAGGATCCACTCTGCACGAAGACACCCCCTGTAAGACGTCAGGATCCACTCTGCCCGAAGACACACCCTGTGAAGACGTCAGGATCCACTCTGCACGAAGACACCCCTGTGAAGACGTCAGGATCCACTCTGCCGAAGACACCCCCTGTGAAGACGTCAGGATCCACTCTGCCCGAACACACCCCTGTGAAGACGTCAGGATCCACTCTGCCCGAGACACACCCCTGTGAAGACGTCAGGATCCACTCTGCACAAGACACCCCCTGTGAAGACGTCAGGATCCACTCTGCCGAAGACACCCCCTGTGAAGACGTCAGGATCCACTCTGCCCGACACCCTGTGAAGACGTCAGGATCCACTCTGCCCGAAGACACCCCCTGTGAAGACGTCAGGATCCACTCTGCCCGAAGACACCCCCTGTGAAGACGTCAGGATCCACTCTGCCGAACACCCCCTGTGAAGACGTCACGATCCACTCTGCCGACACCCCCTGTGAAGACGTCACGATCCACTCTGCCAAACACCCCCTGTGAAGACGTATCCACTCTGCCCGAAACACCCTGTGAAGACGTCAGGATCCACTCTGCCGAAGACACCCCCTGTGAAGACGTCAGGATCCACTCTGCCGAAGACACCCCCTGTGAAGACGTCAGGATCCACTCTGCCGAAGACACCCCTGTGAAGACGTCACGATCCACTCTGCCGAAGACACCCCCTGTGAAGACGTCAGGATCCACTCTGCCGAAGACCCCCTGTGAAGACGTCACGATCCACTCTGCCGAAGAACCCCCTGTGAAGACGTCAGGATCCACTCTGCCGAAGACCCCCTGTGAAGACGTCAGGATCCACTCTGCACGAAGACCCCCTGTGAAGACGTCAGGATCCACTCTGCACGAAGAACCCCCTGTGAAGACGTCACGATCCACTCTGCCGAAGACACCCCTGTGAAGACGTCACGATCCACTCTGCACGAAGACCCCCTGTGAAGACGTCACGATCCACTCTGCACAGACACCCCCTGTGAAGACGTCACGATCCACTCTGCACGAAGACACCCCCTGTGAAGACGTCAGGATCCACTCTGCACGAAGACACCCCCTGTGAAGACGTCACGATCCACTCTGCACGACACCCCCTGTGAAGACGTCACGATCCACTCTGCACGAAGACACCCCTGTGAAGACGTCACGATCCACTCTGCACGAACACACCCCTGTGAAGACGTCAGGATCCACTCTGCCGAAGACACCCCTGTGAAGACGTCACGATCCACTCTGCACGAAGACACCCCCTGTGAAGACGTCAGGATCCACTCTGCCGAAGAACACCCCCTGTGAAGACGTCACGATCCACTCTGCCGAAGACACCCCTGTGAAGACGTCAGGATCCACTCTGCACGAAGAACCCCCTGTGAAGACGTCACGATCCACTCTGCCCGAAGACACCCCTGTGAAGACGTCAGGATCCACTCTGCGAAGACACCCCTGTGAAGACGTCAGGATCCACTCTGCCCGAAGACACCCCCTGTGAAGACGTCACGATCCACTCTGCACGAAGACACCCCCTGTGAAGACGTCACGATCCACTCTGCACGAAGACACCCCCTGTGAAGACGTCAGGATCCACTCTGCACGAAGACACCCCCTGTGAAGACGTCAGGATCCACTCTGCACGAAGACCCCCCTGTGAAGACGTCACGATCCACTCTGCCGAACACACCCCCTGTGAAGACGTCAGGATCCACTCTGCACGAAGACACCCCTGTGAAGACGTCAGATCCACTCTGCACGAAGACACCCCCTGTGAAGACGTCAGGATCCACTCTGCACGAAGAACCCCCTGTGAAGACGTCAGGATCCACTCTGCCGAAGACACCCCTGTGAAGACGTCAGGATCCACTCTGCACGAAGACACCCCCTGTGAAGACGTCAGGATCCACTCTGCCCGAAGACACCCCCTGTGAAGACGTCAGGATCCACTCTGCCCGAAGACACCCCTGTGAAGACGTCAGATCCACTCTGCCCGAAGACACCCCCTGTGAAGACGTCAGGATCCACTCTGCCGAAGACACCCCTGTGAAGACGTCACGATCCACTCTGCCGAAGACACCCCCTGTGAAGACGTCACGATCCACTCTGCCGAAGACACCCCTGTGAAGACGTCAGGATCCACTCTGCCGAAGACACCCCCTGTGAAGACGTCAGGATCCACTCTGCCGAAGACACCCCCTGTGAAGACGTCACGATCCACTCTGCCGAAGACACCCCTGTGAAGACGTCAGGATCCACTCTGCCGAAGACACCCCCTGTGAAGACGTCAGGATCCACTCTGCACGAAGACACCCCTGTGAAGACGTCAGGATCCACTCTGCCCGAAGACACCCCCTGTGAAGACGTCAGGATCCACTCTGCCCGAAGACACCCCCTGTGAAGACGTCAGGATCCACTCTGCACGAAGACACCCCCTGTGAAGACGTCAGGATCCACTCTGCCGAAGACACCCCCTGTGAAGACGTCAGGATCCACTCTGCCGAAGACACCCCCTGTGAAGACGTCAGGATCCACTCTGCCGAAGACACCCCCTGTGAAGACGTCAGATCCACTCTGCCGAAGACACCCCCTGTGAAGACGTCAGGATCCACTCTGCACGAAGACACCCCCTGTGAAGACGTCACGATCCACTCTGCCGAAGACACCCCCTGTGAAGACGTCAGGATCCACTCTGCCCGAAGACACCCCCTGTGAAGACGTCAGATCCACTCTGCACGAAGACACCCCCTGTGAAGACGTCACGATCCACTCTGCACGAAGACACCCCTGTGAAGACGTCAGATCCACTCTGCCCGAAGACACCCCCTGTGAAGACGTCAGGATCCACTCTGCCGAAGACACCCCTGTGAAGACGTCAGGATCCACTCTGCACGAAGACACCCCCTGTGAAGACGTCAGATCCACTCTGCACGAAGACACCCCTGTGAAGACGTCAGGATCCACTCTGCCGAAGACACCCCTGTGAAGACGTCAGGATCCACTCTGCAAGAACCCCCTGTGAAGACGTCACGATCCACTCTGCACGAAGACACCCCCTGTGAAGACGTCAGGATCCACTCTGCCCGAAGACACCCCCTGTGAAGACGTCACGATCCACTCTGCACGAAGACACACCCCTGTGAAGACGTCAGGATCCACTCTGCACGAAGACACCCCCTGTGAAGACGTCAGATCCACTCTGCACGAAGACACCCCCTGTGAAGACGTCAGGATCCACTCTGCAAGAGACACCCCTGTGAAGACGTCAGGATCCACTCTGCAAGAAACCCCCTGTGAAGACGTCAGGATCCACTCTGCCGAAGACACCCCCTGTGAAGACGTCAGGATCCACTCTGCCGAAGACACCCCCTGTGAAGACGTCAGATCCACTCTGCCGAAGACACCCCTGTGAAGACGTCAGATCCACTCTGCCGAAGACACCCCCTGTGAAGACGTCACGATCCACTCTGCCGAAGACACC